CAGTGACTCCTAGCTGGATCGTGGGCCTCGCTGACCACAGATCACAGTGTAGTGGTGACTTGGAGCAGACATCGGCCACTTTGCACCTCCGCCCACGCAAAGGTTAGGGTAAGCAGCCCTAAATAGTTTACTGCTGTCTAAATAGTGATGCAGTCAGAAGCAGATATGAGAGGGTTTCAAAGAACAATTTCGACCCATCCACTTGCAATTTGAAAGGCCACACAAGAGCTTTTATTACATTGCACAACCAAACAGAGGCATAGCCAAGAGGCAAAGCCTGGCAAAAATTGCTTATGCTCATTAATGTCACTCTCCACGGAAGTCTTTAGTAAAAGGCGAAAGACTTATGCGGACTGAAGAGGAACCAGAGTACATGTTGCTTTACTGTCCTCATAATCCAGACAGCAAGCGGGCCTAGCTGTTTTTGTTACGGTGAACCTTCCTGGAACAAAATCAGGAGCCCGGCCCAGTCTAATTTATTTCCATGCCTTATCTAGTTTCGGTTTTAAAGAAAGTTCTTAGCCATACTTATCCCTTGTTTTTCCACAAGGACAAGAACTGTGAGCCCTGACCCGTTGTCTACTTGGATGACCGGTTTATGCATTGTTCGGACTTTGGCAAGTAAAGGCCGATTTCTTGTAAAACTTTCAAAGAAATACTTCCCACACAACTGTGCCCAGTGTTCATTGCAGACATGTTTAATAGTGCGAGAATGCTCTTTTTCACCTCCGTGGCTGGGCATTGAAATTTTATACAGGCTCTTAGAAACCTTGTGCCTTGTATAATTTGTGGGATTACTTTTCCACAACATCAGAGAGTGCACCACTCCCAGCTGCACTGCAGCGATAGGTCGATGCGTGGGGTGAAGAGAGCAAGCTCCTCTTTCAACCCCTTAATACAAAAATTCTGTTTAATATGTTGTCCTCATATAGAAGACATATCAGATATAAAACTGTTAAGAACAGATACTACACTTGATCTTAGCCAAAAGGCCGAGAAGCGATAACAGTGACTCCTAGCTGGATCGTGGGCCTCGCTGACCACAGATCACAGTTTAGTGGTGACTTGGAGCAGACATCGGCCACTTTGCACCTCTGCCCACGCAAAGGTTAGGGTAAGCAGCCCTAAATAGTTTACTGCTGTCTAAATAGTGATGCAGTCAGAAGCAGATATGAGAGGGATTCAAAGAACAATTTTGACCCATCCACTTGCAACTTGAAAGGCCACACAAGAGCTTTTATTACATTGCACAACCAAACAGAGACATAGCCAAGAGGCAGAGCCTGGCAAAAATTGCTTATGCTCATTAATGTCACTCTCCACGGAAGTCTTTAGTAAAAGGCGAAAGACTTATGCGGACTGAAGAGGAACCAGAGTACATGTTGCTTAATTGTCCTCATAATCCAGACAGCAAGCGGGCCTAGCTGTTTTTGTTACGGTGAACCTTCCTGGAACAAAATCAGGAGCCCGGCCCAGTCTAATTTATTTCCATGCCTTACCTAGTTTCGGTTTTAAAGTAAGTTCTTAGCCATACTTATCCCTTGTTTTTGCACGAGGACAAGAAGTGTGAGCCCTGACCCGTTGTCTACTTGGATGACCGGTTTATGCATTGTTCGGACTTTGGCAAGTAAAGGCCGATTTCTTGTAAAACTTTCAAAGAAATACTTCCCACACAACTGTGCCCAGTGTTCATTGCAGACATGTTTAATAGTGCGAGAATGCTCTTTTTCACCTCCGTGGCTGGGCATTGAAATTTTATACAGGCTCTTAGAAATCTTGTGCCTTGTATAATTTGTGGGATTGATTTTCCACAACATCAGAGAGTGCACCACTCCCAGCTGCACTGCAGTGCTAGGTCGATGCTTGGGGTGAAGAGAGCAAGCTCCTCGTTCAACCCCTTAATACAAAAAATCTGTTTAATATGTCGTCCTCATATAGAGGACATATCAGATATTAAACTGATAAGAAGAGATACTACACTTGATCTTAGCCAAAAGGCCGAGAAGCGATAACAGTGACTCCTAGCTGGATCGTGGGCCTCTCTGACCACAGGTCACAGTGTAGTGGTGACTTGGAGCAGACATCAGCCACTTTGCACCTCCGCCCACGCAAAGGTTAGGGTAAGCAGCCCTAAATAGTTTACTGCTGTCTAAATAGTGATGCAGTCAGAAGCAGATATGAGAGGGATTCAAAGAACAATTTCGACCCATCCACTTGCAATTTGAAAGGCCACACAAGAGCTTTTATTACATTGCACAACCAAACAGAGGCATAGCCAAGAGGCAAAGCCTGGCAAAAATTGCTTATGCTCATTAATGTCACTCTCCACGGAAGTCTTTAGTAAAAGGCGAAAGACTTATGCGGACTGAAGAGGAACCAGAGTACATGTTGCTTTATTGTCCTCATAATCCAGACAGCAAGCGGGCCTAGCTGTTTTTGTTACGGTGAACCTTCCTGGAACAAAATCAGGAGCCCGGCCCAGTCTAATTTATTTCCATGCCTTATCTAGTTTCGGTTTTAAAGAAAGTTCTTAGCCATACTTATCCCTTGTTTTTCCACAAGGACAAGAAGTGTGAGCCCTGACCCGTTGTCTACTTGGATGACCGGTTTATGCATTGTTCGGACTTTGGCAAGTAAAGGCCGATTTCTTGTAAAACTTTCAAAGAAATACTTCCCACACAACTGTGCCCAGTGTTCATTGCAGACATGTTTAATAGTGCGAGAATGCTCTTTTTCACCTCCGTGGCTGGGCATTGAAATTTTATACAGGCTCTTAGAAACCTTGTGCCTTGTATAATTTGTGGGATTGATTTTCCACAACATCAGAGAGTGCACCACTTCCAGCTGCACTGCAGTGCTAGGTCGATGCTTGTGGTGAAGAGAGCAAGATCTTCGTTCAACCCCTTAATACAAAAAATCTGTTTAATATGTCGTCCTCATATAGAGGACATATCAGATATTAAACTGATAAGAACAGATACTACACTTGATCTTAGCCAAAAGGCCAAGAAGCAATAACAGTGACTCCTAGCTGGATCGTGGGCCTCGCTGACCACAGATCACAGTGTAGTGGTGACTTGGAGCAGACATCGGCCACTTTGCACCCCCGCCCACGCAAATGTTAGGGTAAGCAGCCCTAAATAGTTTACTGCTTTCTAGATAGTCATGCAGTGAGAAGCGGTTATGAGAGGGATTCAAAGATCAATTTCGACCCATCCACTTGCAATTTGAAAGACCATTCTAGAGCTTTTATTACATTGCACAACCAAACAGAGACATAGCCAAGAGGCAGAGCCTGGCAAAAATTGCTTATGCTCATTAATGTCACTCTCCGCGGAAGTCTTTAGTAAAAGGCGAAAGACTTATGCGGACTGAAGAGATACCACAGTACAAGTTGCTTTATTGTCCTCATAATCCAGACAGCAAGCGGGCCTAGCTGTTTTTGTTACGGTGAATCTTCCTGGAACAAAATCAGGAGCCCGGCCCAGTCTAATTTATTTCCATGCCTTATCTAGTTTCGGTTTTAAAGAAAGCTCTTAGCCATACTTATCCCTTGTTTTTCCACAAGGACAAGAAGTGTGAGCCCTGACCCGTTGTCTACTTGGATGACCGGTTTATGCATTGTTCGGACGTTGGCAAGTAAAGGCCGATTTGTTGTAAGACTTTCAAAGAAATACTTCCCACATAACTGTGCCCAGTGCTTCTTGCAGACATTAATTGTGCCAGAATGCTCTTTTTCACCTCCGTGGCTGGGCATTGAAATTTTATACAGGCTCTTAGAAACCTTGTGCCTTGTATAATTTGTGGGATTGCTTTTCCACAACATCAGAGAGTGCACCACTCCCAGCTGCACTGCAGCGCTAGGTCGATGCGTGGGGTGAAGAGAGCAAGCTCCTCTTTCAACCCCTTAATACAAAAAATCTGTTTAATATGTCGTCCACATATAGAGGACATATCAGATATTAAACTGATAAGAACAGATACTACACTTGATCTTAGCCAAAAGGCCGAGAAGCGATAACAGTGACTCCTAGCTGGATCGTGGGCCTCGCTGACCACAGATCACAGTGTAGTGGTAACTTGGAGCAGACATCGGCCACTTTGCACCTCCGCCCACGCAAAGGTTAGGGTAAGCAGCCCTAAATAGTTTACTACTGTCTAAATAGTGATGCAGTCAGAAGCAGATATGAGAGGGATTCAAAGAACAATTTTGACCCATCCACTTGCAATTTGAAATGCCATACAAGAGCTTTTATTACATTGCGCATCCAAACAGAGGCATAGCCAAGAGGCAGAGCCTAGCAGAAATTGCATATGCTCATTAATGTCATTCTCCACGGAAGTCTTTAGTAAAAGGCGAAAGACTTATGCGGACTGAAGAGAAACCAGAGTACATGTTGCTTTGTTGTCCTCATAATCCAGACAGCAAGCGGGCCTAGCTGTTTTTGTTACGGTGAACCTTCCTGGAACAAAATCAGGAGCCCGGCCCAGTCTAATTTATTTCCATGCCTTATCTAGTTTCGGTTTTAAATAAAGTTCTTAGCCATACTTATCCCTTGTTTTTCCACAAGGACAAGAAGTGTGAGCCCTGACCCGTTGTCTACTTGGATGACCGGTTTATGCATTGTTCGGACTTTGGCAAGTAAAGGCCGATTTGTTGTAAAACTTTCAAAGAAATACTTCCCACACAACTGTGCCCAGTGCTTCTTGCAGACATGTTTAATTGTGCCAGAATGCTCTTTTTCACCTCCGTGGCTGGGCATTGAAATTTTATACAGGCTCTTATAAACCTTGTGCCTTGTAAAATTTGTGGGATTGCTTTTCCACAACATCAGAGAGTGCACCAATCCCAGCTGCACTGCAGCGCTAGGTCGATGCGTGGGGTGAAGAGAGCAAGCTCCTCTTTCAACCCCTTGATACAAAAAATCTGTTTAATATGTCGTCCTCATATAGAGGACATATCAGATATTAAGCTGATAAGAACAGATTTTTTTTTTTTTTTCAAAATTTTTATTGACAATTATCAGTTTACAATGCCTTTAAGAAAAATTTACAATAAAAGGAACTATTCAACTAGATGATCTCTGTCATTTGTCTGAAGGCTGTGATCCTTTTAAGTTGCAGTTCTCCATGACCCTCAACCTGGAGGTCCCCAGACTGGGGGGCGGATGGCAGTCATGCCAACATCAAAATGTACCCAGATCCTCCTCCACAAAAGACCCTTTTTCCTCGGACCCCACAGCTGGGGTGTGGTTTGGGATCCTCCATCTATGCGCTGGGATGTCAGGGTGTTGCTGCGTCAACCTTTTCTCGTGGACTCCGGCTCCACCATCCGAATGTCACAGAGGCGATTCTTCTTTGTGGCTGTGTCCTTGGCTCGCCGCCCGCAACCCTGACGATGTCCTCAGGGCTGCAGCCATCCGGATCACAGCCACGGGGGGGATCTGCATGTGATTTCTCACCAGCAAGTTTCTGGAGGTCCAAATGGCGTCTTTGATGGCGGCTAGGGTGAGCCTTTCCTCATCACTGAGTTTTTCTGGTTTTGCCGTACTCTGGCTCACCCCATAGAGCACTAGGTGTGCTGTCAGGACCTCCCTTGCTGGCAAGTACGGGAAGTCCTGGGCGCCGGCTGTTGTCCACAGGTCGATAGCAGCACTGCACTCCCAGAGGAGGTGCCGTACCGTCTCCGGTGCGCCACAGCCGGGTCGGGGGCATGCCGCTTTGGCTGCCATTCCTCTGGAGTGCATAACATCCCTGACGGGGAGGATCCCATGTGCCACTTGCCATGACAGGTCCAACAGTCTGTTTGGGAGACCAGGGCGGCTAATGCCTTTCCACACCGCCTCCGCCTCCCCACCTGCAAGTCCCGCAACAGGAATTGGGTCACTTCGAGCCTGTACAACAGAAGTTAAAAAACGCTGGTTTAAAAGAGTGTCCTTACTTTCATTTTCCAGATTAAAATGTGTTAAAAATGTCTTGATGACCTCGTAAGCAGGTGGCAACTGAAAGGCTACAGGTACTCTCAAATTACTTGGCATCAGTTTTAGCTTACGGAGGTATGAACCCATACAATAGTAAGACATTGCACGTGTCTTTACACCGCCCTGTTCAGTCATTACTTGTCGCATGTGGGTGCAGGTGTAATGTGCACCCAGACACAAATATAGGTCTGGAACCCCCATGCCTCCTTTTCCTTTGGGTTTCTTCATTTCTTCTCTCTTCAGTCTCTCCCACTTGGATCCCCATAAAAACTGGAAGATTGTCCTCTCAAGACTTCTTATCGTTTTCCTGGATGGTAAAAACACACTTGCTGCCAGTAAAAACAAAGGGATTATCACAGCTTTTATTATCAGCACTTTTCCATTCAGGGTTAGGTCTCTTTGTTTCCACAGGCCTGTTCTCTGTCTCACTTTTGCTGATATTTCTGTCCAATTTACCTCACCTTTACCTTCTTTATCAAATTTAATCCCTAGTATCTTTTGTTCATTTGAGTTTACCTTTGCCTGTGTTCTTTCACTTGCTGTCCATGGTCCATACAGCTGTAGTTGTGTTTTGTTCTCATTTAGTTTGGCCCCAGATGCTTTCCCATACTGCTCAGTTAGTATAAAAGCTCTGTTTATAGATGCCATGTCAGTACACACGATATTAATATCGTCCATATATAAGACACATTTTAGGTCTTGACCTCCACTGCCTGGTATCCTTTGTCCTGTAATCCATTTATCGTTTCTTATCATTTGTGCTAATGGCTCAATGTATATTACGTACAAAATCGCTGACAGCGGGCACCCTTGTCTCACACCTGACCTGATTGGTATTTTTTTTGTTAGATGTCCATTTAGCAGACATTTACTGTAAACATTATTATATATTAACTTTATCCAGTGTTTGAATCTTTCAGGTAGACCTATTTTCTCCAATAACTCAAACAAAAACACATGCGAAACTCTATCAAAGGCTTTTTTGAAGTCTAGGTTGGCTATTATTAACTTGGTGTTCTTTTCTTTAGCCATTGCAATATTGTCCCGTATAAGGATTAGACCATCTGTGATCTTTCTCCCTTTAACTGCACACGTCTGGTCTGAGTGTATAATTTGTCCCAAAAACGGTTTTAGTCTCGTTGCTAAAAGTCTACTAAAAAGTTTGCAGTCTATGTTTAAAAGTGTAATCGGTCTCCAGTTCCTCAAGTCCATTTTGTTGTTTCCTTTATAAATTAGGGACACGATTCCACACCTAAAACTCTCAGGTAGCTGGTCCAATTGATCAAATTCTTTAAAAACCTCCAAGATATCTGGTCCCAAGATCTCCCAAAATGTCAGATAAAACTCCATGGGTAAACCGTCTGCTCCTGGTGATTTACCTTTTTTAAAGGCTTTTAAATTCTTTTCCATTTCAATCATATTAAACTCTTTACACATTTCTTCTTTTCCTTCTCTAAACTCTGTCATGTCTTTTAAAATTTCATTAAACATTTTCATCTCTATCTCCCTTTCGTTGTACAAATCTTCATAAAACTCTTCAACAGTCCTCTTTATTCCTTCCGTGGTTTTTTCTTCTATTCCTTGTTTGGTTCTCAGAACTGTTATCGTATCTGTTTTACTCATTATTTTCCTAAAGAAGTATCGTGTACATTTTTCTCCTTCCTCTGCTTCTTTAGTTTTACTTCTTAAAATCATACCTTTACTTCTCTCTTTCGCCATCTCTGTCATTTGTCTTTTTATTTCTCTTATTTCGCTTGCAAAATTAATCCCATTTTGGTTTAAAACATAGTATCTTTGCAATCTTTTTTGCAATCCTTTTAAGACTCGTATTTCTTTGTCCTTTTTTTCTTTTCCTTTGTTACAGAAAAAGGTTTTTGTTCTTTGTTTAACCATTTCCCACCACTTAGCTCTGTTTTCAAACATATCCCGAAGTGTTTGCCAGTCCTTATAGACCATCTCATATTCTGCTCTTATACGGGGGTCTTCTAACAGTGAGCAATTTAATTTCCATAAACCTCTTCCTGGTACTAGGTCCGATATTATTTTACATTTGCATGTTAGCACACAGTGGTCAGAAAAAAAAGCTGGAGTTAGCTGAACATTCAAAGGTACACAGTCTCTTGCCAGTAAGTAATCAATTCTTGATGCTTTGGAGCCATCACCACTGCTCCATGTAAAGCCTTCCTTTTCTGGTTGCAAGCTTTTAAAACAATCTATCAATTTAAAATCTTGTGTTATCTTTCTCAATAAATGTGAAGTTTTATCAAGTTTAAAATCTTCCCCGCACCCTTTCCTGTCTTTACTATTCATTATACAATTAAAATCTCCTCCTACAATTATTGGCAACTTCCCTAGCAAATGTTCTTGTAAGCTTTCTAACAAATCCCATCTTTCATTTTTGCTATTTGGTGCATAAATATTTAAAATTTTGAAATCTTGTCCTAAATAGGTTAGTACTGCTAAAAGTGCTCTACCATCTTTTATCACTTTACTCTCTTTTATTATTACCCTAGGATTGTTTATTAAGATTGCTACACCATCATTTTTATTTTCATTTGATCCACTCCAGATTGAAGGATATGACCACACCTCTTGCCACCAATGATAGCTTTTAAGAAATGGTAGATTACATTCTTGCAGCAATAAAACATCATTTCTCATATCTTTTAGAGATGTTAAAACCGTATGGGCCCTTAAATTTGTCTTAATACCCCTCACATTAATTGTTGAGATCGTGAGGGACATGAAAATGAGAACAAACCACATTACTCATATTGTCATTTTTTCATACAAAGGCTCTTGCCATCATTCATCCATTATCCTTGTCTTTTTCCATGGTGTTCTGTTTTACCCTTTCTCCTTGTTCCAGCTCTTGTAATGTGTTGGTTTTTTCATAATTATCTTTTGGACTTGACTGACCTAATAACGGAAGAAAAGATGTTTCATTGGGAGAGTCTGATGGAAAGATTCTAGATTCCTGCAAGGATTCATCTGATACCACATCATCCCTTCCTCTTTTTCCCTCTGGAATGGGACTTTGAGGTAAAGAGTCCTCAGCTGGTCTTTTAGAAGTTTGTATTACTGGTCTCTGTTCTTCTGTTTCCTTCTCCGTAATTTGTAACACCTGTCCCTGATGTTCTCCCTGTTCTTCAGTTAATTGTTTTTCAAGCTCCGCCCCCTTTTCCTCCTCTGTCATTGGTTCCTCTAGTAACTCACCAACCTCTTCTGCAGGTGTTTCCACTTCTCTCCTAATTAAGTCATCTTGTTTTCCCTTACCCGCCTTAACTTTGTTTGCAAATGACTGTGGACAGTCTTTAAACAAGTGGTTTTCCATTCCACACAAGTTACATTTCCTTCCTTTATCACACTCTTCAACAGTGTGTCCTACTTCTCTGCATTTCCGGCAGAATGCTTTCTCACATGCTTCCACCAAATGTCCATGCTCCCCACATTGTCTGCATAATTTTGGTTGACCTTGGTAATGAATATAGCCTCTGTTTTCCCCCAACACGATTACCTGCGGCAGGTGTTTTAATCCCTGAAAGCCCTCTGGGTCCTCAAACTGTTGGATTGGTATCCTCCATGCACAGTTCCAAATGCCGTCAATGTCCCTAACTTTCACTGCTTGCCCTCTTACATTACAAAATCTACTCAGCCAGAGGCAAATGTCTTCACCACTCACCATCTCATTAAACATTCTTACAATCACTGTTTTTCTAGTATTGTCAGTCAGTTTCACAATTTCGAACATGTCGAACTCCTTTTTTACCTTTTCCAGTCTTGTCCAGAAGTCTTTCCATAGTGTCTCAGTCAGAAAACTTACATCGAATCCTTTGTTGAAAGGCAAGGTCAGGATGCAATTTAGATCGTCTGGCTTGAATCCCAGAAGCTGTTGGATCATCTTCCGCGAGAAATCCATACGTGACATCTTCTCCACCGTCAACCTGAAGAGAAATCGCACACTGTGGTGCCTCCTCGCATCAGCGCGAAGCGCCGACATCACGGAGGCACCACAGAGTCAAAATTCACACAAAAGTTAACAAATTTCAAACAACTTCAAATGTCAAGATATCTCCTCTATTTGTGTAAAAAGGTCTTGCTACAGATTAAGCAATAACCTTCTCCACCCCAAGGAGCGGATCGCAACTCGTAAAACCAGATGCAGCGTCTGATAAGAACAGATACTACACTTGATCTTAGCCAAAAGGCCGAAAAGAGATAACAGTGACTCCTAGCTGGATCGTGGGCCTCGCTGACCACAGATCACAGTGTAGTGGTCACTTGGAGCAGACATCGGCCACTTTGCACCTCCGCCCACGCAAAGGTTAGGGTAAGCAGCCCTAAATAGTTTACTGCTGTCTAAATAGTGATGCAGTCAGAAGCAGATATGAGAGGGATTCAAAGAACAATTTCGACCCATCCACTTGCAATTTGAAAGGCCACACAAGAGCTTTTATTACATTGCACAACCAAACAGAGGCATAGCCAAGAGGCAGAGCCTGGCAAAAAATGCTTATGCTCATTAATGTCACTCTCCACGGAAGTCTTTAGTAAAAGGCGAAAGACTTATGCGGACTGAAGAGGAACCAGAGTACATGTTGCTTTATTGTCCTCATAATCCAGACAGCAAGCGGGCCTAGCTGTTTTTGTTACGGTGAACCTTCCTGGAACAAAATCAGGAGCCCGGCCCAGTCTAATTTATTTCCATGCCTTATCTAGTTTCGGTTTTAAAGAAAGTTCTTAGCCATACTTATCCCTTGTTTTTCCACAAGGACAAGAAGTGTGAGCCCTGACCCGTTGTCTACTTGGATGACCGGTTTATGCATTGTTCGGACTTTGGCAAGTAAAGGCCGATTTCTTGTAAAACTTTCAAAGAAATACTTCCCACACAACTGTGCCCAGTGTTCATTGCAGACATGTTTAATAGTGCCAGAATGCTCTTTTTCACCTCCGTGGCTGGGCATTGAAATTTTATACAGGCTCTTAGAAACCTTGTGCCTTGTATAATTTGTGGGATTGATTTTCCACAACATCAGAGAGTGCACCACTCCCAGCTGCACTGCAGTGCTAGGCCGATGCTTGTGGTGAAGAGAGCTAGCTCTTCGTTCAAACCCTTAATACAAAAAATCTGTTTAATATGTCATCCTCATATAGGGGACATATCAGATATTAAACTGATAAGAACAGATACTACACTTGATCTTAGCCAAAAGGCCGAGAAGCGATAACAGTGACTCCTAGCTGGATCGTGGGCCTCGCTGACCACAGATCACAGTGTAGTGGTGACTTGGAGCAGACATCGGCCACTTTGCACCTCCGCCCACGCAAAGGTTAGGGTAAGCAGCCCTAAATAGTTTACTGCTGTCTAAATAGTGATGCAGTCAGAAGCAGATATGAGAGGGATTCAAAGAACAATTTCGACCCATCCACTTGCAATTTGAAAGGCCACACAAGAGCTTTTATTACATTGCACAACCAAACAGAGGCATAGCCAAGAGGAAGAACCTGGCAAAAATTGCTTATGCTCATTAATGTCACTCTCCACGGAAGTCTTTAGTAAAAGGCGAAAGACTTATGCGGACTGATGAGAAACCACAGTACAAGTTGCTTTATTGTCCTCATAATCCAGACAGCAAGTGGGCCTAGCTGTTTTTGTTACGGTGAACCTTCCTGGAACAAAATCAGGAGCCCGGCCCAGTCTAATTTATTTCCATGCCTTATCTAGTTTCGGTTTTAAAGAAAGTTCTTAGCCATACTTATCCCTTGTTTTTCCACGAGGACAAGAAGTGTGAGCCCTGACCCGTTGTCTACTTGGATGACCGGTTTATGCATTGTTCGGACTTTGGCAAGTAAAGGCCGATTTGTTGTAAAACTTTCAAAGAAATACTTCCTACACAACTGTGCCCAGTGCTCATTCCAGACATGTTCAATTGTGCCAGAATTCTCTTTTTCACCTCTGTGGCTGGGCATTGAAATTTTATACAGGCTCTTAGAAACCTTGTGCCTTGTATAATTTGTGGGATTGCTTTACCACAACATCAGAGAGTGCACCACTCCCAGCTGCACTGCAGCGCTAGGTCGATGCATGGGGTAAAGAGAGCAAGCTCCTCTTTCATCCCCTTAATACAAAAAATCTGTTTAATATGTCGTCCTCATATAAGGGACATATCAGATATTAAACTGATAAGAACAGATACTACACTTGATCTTAGCCAAAAGGCCGAGAAGCGATAACAGTGACTCCTAGCTGGATTGTGGGCCTCGCTGACCACAGATCACAGTGTAGTGGTGACTTGGAGCAGACATCGGCCACTTTGCACCTCCGCCCACGCAAAGGTTAGGGTAAGCAGCCCTAAATTGTTTACTGCTGTCTAAATAGTGATGCAGTCAGAAGCAGATATGAGAGAGATTCAAAGAACAATTTCGACCCATCCACTTGCAATTTGAAAGGCCACACAAGAGCTTTTATTACATTGCACAACCAAACAGAGGCATAGCCAAGAGGCAAAGCCTGGCATAAATTGCTTATGCTCATTAATGTCACTCTCCACGGAAGTCTTTAGTAAAAGGCGAAAGACTTATGCAGACTGAAGAGAAACCAGAGTACATGTTGCTTTATTGTCCTCATAATCCAGACAGCAAGCGAGCCTAGCTGTTTTTGTTACGGTGAACCTTCCTGGAACAAAATCAGGAGCCCGGCCCAGTCTAATTTATTTCCATGCCTTATCTAGTTTCGGTTATAAAGAAAGTTCTTAGCCATCCTTATCCCTTGTTTTTCCAAGAGGACAAGAAGTGTGAGCCATGACCCGTTGTCTACTTGGATGACCGGTTTATGCATTGTTCGGACTTTGGCAAGTAAAGGCCGATTTGTTGTAAAACTTTCAAAGAAATACTTCCCAAACAACTGTGTCCAGTGCTCATTGCAGACATGTTTAATTGTGCCAGAATGCTCTTTTTCACCTCCGTGGCTGGGCATTGAAATTTTATACAGGCTCTTAGAAACCTTGTGCCTTGTATAATTTGTGAGATTGCTTTTCCACATCCCAGAGTGCACCACTCCCAGCTGCACTGCAGCGCTAGGTCGATGCGTGGGGTGAAGAGAGCAAGCTCCTCTTTCAAACCCTTAATTCAAAAATTCTGTTTAATATGTCGTCCTCATATAGAGGACATATCAGATATTAAACTGATAAGAACAGATACTACACTTGATCTTAGCCAAAAGGCCGAGAAGCGATAACAGTGACTCCTAGCTGGATCGTGGGCCTCGCTGACCACAGATCACAGTGTAGTGGTGACTTGGAGCAGACATCGGCCACTTTGCACCTCCGCCCACGCAAAGGTTAGGGTAAGCAGCCCTAAATAGTTTACTGCAGTCTAAATAGCGATGCAGTCAGAAGCAGATATGAGAGGGATTCAAAGAACAATTTTGACCCATCCACTTGCAATTCGAAAGGCCACACAAGAGCTTTTATTACATTGCACAACCAAACAGAGGCATAGCCAAGAGGCAGAGCCTGGCAAAAATTGCTTATGCTCATTAATGTCACTCTCCACGGTAGTCTTTAGTAAAAGGCGAAAGACTTATGCGGACTGAAGAGAAACCACAGTACAAGTTGCTTTCTTGTCCTCATAATCCAGACAGCAAGCGGGCCTAGCTGTTTTTGTTACGGTGAACCTTCCTGGAACAAAATCAGGAGCCCGGCCCAGTCTAATTTATTTCCATGCCTTATCTAGTTTCGGTTTTAAAGAAAGTTCTTAGCCATACTTATCCCTTGTTTTTCCACGAGGACAAGAAGTGTGAGCCCTGACCCGTTGTCTACTTGGATGACCGGTTTATGCATTGTTCGGACTTTGGCAAGTAAAGGCCGATTTGTTGTAAAACGTTCAAAGAAATACTTTCTACACAACTGTGCCCAGTGCTCATTCCAGACATGTTTAATTGTGCCAGAATTCTCTTTTTCACCTCTGTGGCTGGGCATTGAAATTTTATACAGGCTCTTAGATACCTTGTGCCTTGTATAATTTGTGGGATTGCTTTATCACAACATCAGAGAGTGCACCACTCCCAGCTGCACTGCAGCGCTAGGTCGATGCATGGGGTGAAGAGAGCAAGCTCCTCTTTCAACCCCTTAATACAAAAAATCTGTTTAATATGTCGTCCTCATATAAAGGACATATCAGATATTAAACTGATAAGAACAGATACTACACTTGATCTTAGCCAAAAGGCCGAGAAGCGATAACAGTGACTCCTAGCTGGATCGTGGGCCTCGCTGACCACAGATCACAGTGTAGTGGTGACTTGGAGCAGACATCGGCCACTTTGCACCTCCGCCCACGCAAAGGTTAGGGTAAGCAGCCCTAAATAGTTTACTGCTGTCTAAATAGTGATGCAGTCAGAAGCAGATATGAGAGGGATTCAAAGAACAATTTCGACCCATCCACTTGCAATTTGAAAGGCCACACAAGAGCTTTTATTACATTGCACAACCAAACAGAGGCATAGCCAAGAGGCAGAGCCTAGCAAAAATTGCTTATGCTCATTAATGTCACTCTCCATGGAAATCTTTAGTAAAAGGCGAAAGACTTATGCGGATTGAAGAGAAACCAGAGTACATGTTGCTTTATTGTCCTCATAATCCAGACAGCAAGCGAGCCTAGCTGTTTTTGTTACGGTGAACCTTCCTGGAACAAAATCAGGAGCCCGGCCCAGTCTAATTTATTTCCATGCCTTATCTAGTTTCGGTTATAAAGAAAGCTCTTAGCCATCCTTATCCCTTGTTTTTCCAAGAGGACAAGAAGTGTGAGCCCTGACCCGTTGTCTACTTGGATGACCGGTTTATGCATTGTTCGGACTTTGGCAAGTAAAGGCCGATTTGTTGTAAAACTTTCAAAGAAATACTTCCCAAACAACTGTGTCCAGTGCTCAT